GCTTCTAATGCTATAAATTTCCCTCTTAGGACTGCCTTTGCAATATCCCATAGGTTTTGATAATTTGTGTCTTCATTATTATTTTGTTCCAAAAATTTGATGATTTCCTTAATCTCATCTTTAACACAGCTATCATTCAGTGTATGGTTATTCAGTTTCTGTGACTTTGTTTAGAGTATGAAGATTTCTGTTGCTTTTGAGTTCAACTTTTATTCTGTGATGATCTGAGAAGATACAAGGAATAATTTCTATTCTTTTAAATTTGTTGAGGTTAGACTTCTGTTCTAAGATATGATCAGTTTTGGAGGATGATCCATGAGCTGACAGAAGAATGTGTATTCAGTTTTTGTTTTTTTTTTTGAGACAGAGCCTGAAGCTGTCACCCTGGGTAGAGTGCCATGGCATCACAGCTCACAGCAACCTCCAACTCCTGGGCTCAAGCAATTCTCCTGCCTGCACCTCCCTAGTAGCTAGGATTATAAGTGCCTGCCACAATGCTCAGCTATTTTTTGGTTGCAGCTGTTGTTGTTGGTTGGCAGGCCCAGGCTAGATTTGAACCCACCTTAGCCTCTTTTGCCACAGGTGCCGAGTCGTGTATTCAGTTTTATTAGAATGAAATGTTCTGTAATTGTCTGTTAAGTCCATTTGTTCTAGGGTCAAGTTTAAGTCCATTATTTCTTTCTTTCTTTCTTTCTTTTTTTTTTTTTGAGACAGAGCCTCAAGCTATCCCCCTGGGTAGAGTGCTGTGGCATCATACCTCGCAGCAACCTCCAACTCCTGGGCTCAAGCGAGTCTCCTGCCTCAGCCTCCCAAGTAGTTGGGACCACAGGTGCCCACCACAACGCCTGGCTATTTTTTGGTTGTAGCCATCATTGTTGTTTGGCGGCCTGGACTGGATTCGAACCCACTGCCTTAGGTGTATGTGGCTGGTGCCTTAGCCACTTGAGCCACAGGCGCCGAGCCTCCATTATTTCTTTGTTTAGTTTCTTCTTGGAGGATCAATCTGTAACTGACAAAGGGGTGTTAAAATTTCCAACTATTTTAGTGCAGGAAGATATCAAATTGTCCATATCCATTAAGGTTTGCTTTATAAATTGAGAAGCATCCAGGTGGGGCATATAATTATTAATTGTAGAAATCTCATCACGTTGAGTGTTTCCCTTGACAAATATGTAATGTCCCTCCTTGTCTTTCCTTATCTTTGTTAGTTTAAATTCTATTGTATCTGCAAATAAAATTGCAATCTTTGCTTTTTTCTGATTTCCATTTGTTTCTATTATAGATGTCCATCCCTTCACCCTGAGTCTTTTTTTTTTTTTTGAGACAGGGACTTACTATGTAGAGTGCAGTGGTGTCACAGCTCACAGCAACCTCAAATTCTTGGGCTTAAGTGATTCTTTTTGCCTCCGAAGGAGCTGGGACTGCAGGCACCTGCCACAATGCCTGGCTATTTTTTTGTTGTAGTTTTTTTTGTATTTCATTGTTGTTTAGCAGGGCTGGATTCGAACCCGCCAGCCCTAGTATATGTGCTGGTGCCCTAACTCCTGAGCTATGGGTGCTGAGCCTGAGTCTTTTTTATCCTTTGAAGTCAGATGAGTCTCTTGTAGGCAACAGATACCTGGCCTGAGTTTTTGTATCCAGTTAGCCAACCTGTGCCTCTTTAGAGGACAGTTTAAGCCATTCACATTAATTGAATGATTAATGAGAGAGAATTGATAGGTATGGTAGTGTTTTGGGCATCATGTTTTTCAAAGGTTTGGTGCATTATTTTAGTCCTCTCACCATTGTGGAAGTTAGGCTTTGTTTGATAAACTTTGGTGAGTTTACTTTGGTGGTAGACCGTTGTGCTGGTCATTATGGAAAATGGGTCTAAGTATTTCCTGGAGAGCTGCTTTAGTTATGGCAGATTTCCTCAACATATATATGTCTGTAAAGTATTTGATTTCTCTATCACAAATGCAATTCAGTTTAGCTGGATACAGGATTCTGGAATTTGTTTTGTTTTAGAAGGTTGAAGGTCAGTGACCATCCTCTTCTGGCTTAAAAAGTTTTGGCTGAAAGATCCGCAGTCATTCTAATATTTCTCCCTTTGTAGGTAATGCTTTTCTTACATATGGCTGCTTGCAGGATTTTCTCCTTCATATTAACTTTCGCAAAGTTAATGACAATGTGTCTAGGCGATGCGATGTTTTATTTGCATTGAGTCTTACTGGGGTTCTGAAACTATCTACTATCTGAATTTCTGTATTTCTTGCAGTGCTTGGGAAATTCTCCTTTCTGATTTCTTGGAGTAGAGCATCTGTGCCTTTAGGACCATCCTCTTCTTTAGGAATTCCTATAAGTCAGATGTTTGATCTTTTGGAATGATCCCATACCTCTCTCAGGGAATATTTTGTTCTTATTTTATATTTTTCTGACTCTTTGAATGCTTGGGATCATTCAAAAGCCTTATTTTCAATTTCTGAGATCCTTTCTTCTGTCTGACCAACTCTATTACTGAGGGATTCTACTGCATTTCGAAGTTCCTTGATAAGTTTGTCACTTCTTTGAGCTCTGCTATGTCTTTCCTCTTTATGTCCATATCCTTGGTTACTTTGCCTTTTTTGAACTTCTCTTTGGATTTCTGTTTCCATCTTTCCTTCCATTGTATTCGTCTTATTTGCTGTCCGTAGTCTCAATTCTATTTCTGACAATTTAGCCATTTGTCTATGAATGGCATCTTCTGTTCTATCTCCTGTGTCATTCCTTGGGGGAGTTGATCTACTCTGCTTATTCATGTTGCCAGCATTCTTCCACTGGTTCTGCCCCATGAGTATTTTTTGCAATTTGGCAATTAAAACTGGTAGGGTGAGATCTGATTGGGGGCCCTAGGAAGTGGAGTTAACCAGCCCTTTACCCATGAGCTGAGGATTGTGATTGTGGCTTTTCCCTTATAGCCTTACAAAGATCCTTGTCAGATCTGCAACCAGTAGCTCTGAAGACTTTCTTGGTGAGATAGTGCAAGCTAAAGCTCTGCCTTAAAGTCAGCCAGCCTCTACCCACTCCTAATGAGTCATGGTATTAGGCTGAAATTTCAGCTAGGGAGAGATACGAGCAGCTGCAGCACCCTGTTCCCCACCAGTGACAGCTGGAGGAGGAGAATCATTCCTTTCCCGCTACAAAACAACCACTGCTCAACCTCAGAGGGTCCCCAGGTGGATAGCCTAGGTTGAGAGTTCTAATCAGATTGTGCTGGGCAGTACAATCATTACTGCTCACCAGGGAGAGTTCAAAGGATCTCCAGTGGCCCAATAGTGAAATCCACAGGCAATTTCATCCTGCAAATCCAAGGGGATGGATCCTGGACTTCTCCAGTGAGCCACCAAGTCAGAAAAGATTGCCCATGCACTGTTGCAGTGTGTCTCTCCTGCGTGTCCCTCTCTTCCTGTGCCCCCCGGCTTCTACTGAGTCACTGTTTCCTCTCATGCTGCTGTCCAGTGGTCCACACAATGCCCAGGCCTCTCAGGGAATTGCCAGACACTCTGGGCTCTGCAGAAGGCAGACCTTCAGACAGAATTGCAGGGACAATATTTGTTCAATTTAATGTGGGGCAGGATGAGGCCTTGGCTCACAAGTGAGACCTCCCTGGAGGAGGCCCGGTAAAATGAGAGGTCTTTTGTTCCCTCTTGGCTTGTGGAGAACCCACAGTGAGCCTCCTGCTTAGGGGAGGGTTCTCTTGTCCTTTTGGCAATGGGCTTTGTACCTGGAATTTGTTATCTTGGAGTCACAGCTTGCCTCAGCAGAGATGATGGGCACTTGTCTATCGTTTTTCTTAGCTCAGCTCCCTACCTTCAGCTTCAGAGTCCACTTCTGTCCAGGATCTCTCCCTCATGAGAGGACCGGACCGTCTGGAGCAGCGTCTGGTGAAAGCTGTTTCTAGTCAGCCATTTGCCTTCCTCTGAAATGATCCCCATGACTTTCTTCACTTAACATGGCTTTTACATCAGTACCCCAGAAAATACTTAGTGACATTAAATTATTAAAGACATCTTCCAGTAAGCATCCTTGTATGTATGTGTGACTATTTCTGTAGAATAAATACCTAGAGTTGCTGGGCAATGCTCAGATAAAATTTTGATAGATTTAACATTTTAAAGTCATCTGGCTACTCCAACATTTAAAATTTTGATAGATATTGCTAAATTGTCTCAAAAAAGGGCTTTACTGATTTGTATTTTCACCAACAGTGTATGAGTGTGGATTCTCCTTCTTGTCTGTGTTGGCTATTATCAAGCTTTTTTTTGTTGTCGTTGCGGTTTGGCTGGGGCCAGGTTTGAACCTGCCACCCTCCGTATATGGGACCAGCGCCCTACCCACTGAGTCACAGGCATCACCCTATTATCAAGCTTTATATTCTTGCCAACCTGCTGGGTGAGAAATTGTATTGTGAATTGAAAGGGTGTTATTTTTGAGAACATTTTAATTAATCTTTCTGAGATTCTGATTTGTTCAGAGTTCTTGTTTACTAGATAGATATTCAGCCTAGAAATTTGTAGTCTCTGATTTATATAGAGCCTTCTTCCTCATATCACTGATTCTGTGCATTACAGTTGATCGTGCTACCATGATATAAATCATTTGTACCTTCATAATGAAATGAAGATATTAATTTGGAAAATAGTAGCCAAATGACTTTAGCTGTTTTGGAGAACATTACATGGGTGTCACTCAGGATTTTGGTTGCTGGCTTTCTTAGCTGGTTTCCCAAATGTTCTTTGTTAATGATACTGCATTTCTTCCTTTTTTGGTCAATTTTTCTTATTTATTATCAGAACTCAAGAAAATATATGAAAATTAATATATGGAAACTTGAATCTATATAATTGGAAGGATAGTACTTGATCTTTTAAGAAATCAGTCTACTTTAGTTTTAAAATATTTAAGAAACTCTTTGTATGATGAATTCTGTGTAACCAATTGATAATCAGACATATCAATTTTTTTTTCCTTTTACTCTGTAGAGGATGTCAAATGAGAAGATCCCCTACTCAAGTCCTACTCAGGAACAAGATTGTTTACAAAGTCAACATGTCAGTAATAATGAAGAAATGTCAGTTAATCAAGAAATTGGTGTTGGTGATGTGGATGTGGTGGAGGAATGGCTCCGTTATTTCCCTGACGATGGGCCATCCACCTCTGCAGAGTGGTATGTGTCAGAAGCTCCAAAGAGGGGACAGGCCATGCTACACATCGACAGACGTCAGATCCAAGCAGTGGAGCCCAGCGTGCAGGCCCCTGAACTGCAGGGTTTGGGTGTGGATGTCTATGACCAGGAAGTGCTAGAGCACTGTGTGCTTCAGCAAGTGGACAGTGCAATCCATGAGGCGAACCGTGTGGCCCAACTCGCCGATGCAGAGAAGGAGTATCGGTCAGTCCTGGATGACCTCATGTGAGTATGGCCCAGCTTCAGAATTTGTATTTAAACGTGATGGAGGAAATTCAGGTCATAAAGATCTCTAGTATTCCTGAAATTTAGGAGATTCATAGAACCTCTTATCTGGAGGACAGAGTCAATAAGAACAGTCTTCAACTTCATCTTGGAGCCCCAGCCCTTGCCTTGAGCATGGTAGGCAGAAGTAAGGGTCCCAGTGCAGCTCACAGAAGCCTTGTTCATGTGTAAGTGCCCTAGGACTCACCATCATGTGCACAAACTGGTCTCAGCACAAGTGCACCTATACAGCTAAGGTGTTTCTTGCTCATTTTACTAGGAACACATCGCACCCCATCATGTTTATCTGTTTTGTAGTTATTTTCCAGCTTGTTGTCCCCAAATTGAGTGTTCAGTCCTAGGCAAGTTACAGATTTACATTTCTAGAAATAATGAGAAAGTACTGTTTGGTTTTCCTTTTTTTTTTTTTGAAAAGTTAAAAATTCCTTAATTTTTTATTCCTGGTACCACTACCACAATTTACAGGGCAATGTACCTGATGTAATGAAAAGAAAAAGAAAAAGCTACAACAGATAAAAGATCTCAGTAATGTACATCTAATTGACACTGCATTGCATTAATCAATAGCTGCACTTTTTGCAAACTGTGGCTATGACAGTCCTGAACAAGAAGGGTTTCCTGTTTAAGCTGCAGTAACTTTTCTGACTATGGATCATCGTTCCTTCTGTGGCAGATTTTTACAGTTCCTCTAATGCATTTGGGACACCTGTCTCAAAGTAACCTGCAGCCTTCCTGATAACTCCTCACTCTCTCTCCTGCTAAGAACTGTAGCCCTTTTCTGTTGTTTTTAGAACCTTCTACTACCATATCCACCACTTCCACCACCAGATCCATAACCACCACCATATGGACTGCCCGAGCTTCTTCGACCAAAACTGCCCCCTTTCATGGGTCCATAATTTGATTGCTGTTGTCCACTATAATTTCCCAAATCATTATAGTTCCCACCACCACCATAGTTACCTCCAAAATTTCCTCCTTCATTGTAACCATCATATCCTCCTCCACCACCATATCCGCCACCTTGGTTTCCATATCCTGGTCCACCACCACCATAGCCCCCTCTACTACTGTAACCAGGACCACCGCCATAGTTCCCACCATCACCTCCAAATCCATTGTATCCACCATCGCTTCCTCCATAACTACCTCTGCTGCCACCACCTCCACCACCATATCCTCCTCTTCCACCAAAGTTTCCACCACGGCCAAAATTACCTCCACCACCTCCAAAGTTTCCTTCCCAACCCATAAAGTTGCCAGATCCACCTCCACGACCTCTTTGTGATCCAGCAGACTGCATCTCTTGTTTAGAAAGGGTCTTTTTCACTTCACAATTATGCCCATTAATAGTGTGGTATTTCTGAACAACAATTTTATCAACAGTATCATGATCATGAAAAGTTACAAAAGCAAATCCTCTCTTTTTTCCACTCTGCCTGTCTTCCATAACTTCTGTGGTTTCAATCTTGCCATACTTTTCAAAGTAGTCTCTCAAATGATATTCTTCTGTATCTTCTTTAATACCACCAACAAAAATTTTCTTCACTGTGAGATGGGCACCAGGCTTTACAGAATCCTCTCTAGATACAGCTCTCTTTGGTTCCACAACACGCCCATCAACCTTGTGTGGTCGAGCACACATTGCTGCATCCACCTCTTCCACACAAGAGTAAGTCACAAAACCAAAGCCCCTGGAACGTTTTGTTTGGGGATCTCTCATTACCACACAATCTGTGAGTGTGCCCCGTTTCTCAAAATGTTCTCTTAAAGTATCATCTGTAGTTTCAAAGCTCAGACCACCAATAAACAGTTTTCTCAACTGCTCTGGTTCCTTTGGATCATGCCCCCCCCCCGCTGGTGGCAGCAGTCCCCGGAGTCGGGCTGACAGGCCGCTGGAGTCAGGCTGACCGAGTGGCAGTTTTACCTCCATTTTGAGACCAGACTCACCTCTTCCAACTCGAGTTCAAAATGGGACCGAGAGGTGGTTTTCCTTTCTTCAGAACTACTTTAGACTCTAAGGAAAGATGAAGTCTCATGGAGACGTCATTTGTGTTTTTGAGGAGAGATAGATGAGCTCTTTTGAGCATAGCTCATTGGTTGGGAAGGGGGAGGCTCTGGACCTGTGCCAGGGTTGGGAGGTGAGCAAAGGGAGGGAAGGAGAAGAGGGAAGGGCTGATCTCATTCATCACTGCTGATGTGTCCCCCATTGGGCGGTGTTAGGTAGGTGAGAAAGAGAAGGCAAGTGGAGTGGACTGAGTGGAGGATGGAGCAGTATTGCACGGGGCAGAGGCTGTTGTCATTTAGAGAACATGTTTTCAGGTAACAGTTCCCTATTGTGTTCTTTTAGCCTCTCAAGTAGCAGGAGCTCTTGCATAGTTGTAATCTGCCTTTGAGTGTTGAGGACCTCAACTTGAAATGACACACTTTTTACCTTTGATCTTGGAGATATGGCCATATCCCACAGAGGTGAGAGACAGAGGAGAGTACTGTGGTGTCTCTAGATATCCTAGAGGGTGCCACTGGATGGCCAATGGTGTATGGTGCCTTCGATGGCTAATAACTTGCATCATTTATCCTGAAAGCCACAGAAGACACAAATGGCAGATTATACAAGTGTTCTTAAAATTGGAAGCTAGGCTTGGCGCCTGTGGCTCAAGTGGCTAAGGCGCCAGCCACATATACCTAACGTGGAGGTTCAAATCCAGCCTGGGCCCGCCAAAACAGCAATGATGGCTGCAACCAAAAAATAGCCTGGCGTTGTGGCGGGCGCCTGTGATTCCAGCTACTTGGGAGGCTGAGGCAGGAGACTCGCTTGAGCCCAGGAGTTGGAGGTTGCTGTGAGCTGTGATGCC